GAGTAAGCGCAAACGTAAGTAGAATAAATAGTGTAATATAGATAGTTGTCTACTAGTATTATATTAGCTTAGTTACGTCTTAGTAACTTATAATACTCTATAATAGCCTATAATAGACTATTATAGGCTATCTAGGCTGCTAGTAGAAAATATTAAGATTAGAAGTACTTACCTAATTATTATTAGTTAGTGTAGAAGTAATAGTTAAGAAATTTAAAAGATCTTAATATAATACTGCTAAAACGCTAGCTACTAGCGTAAGTAGTAGTGTTTGCTATAATATTCTATTATTACTTATTTTAGTAGTAAGTAAGAAAATTACTAGATAAAAGTAAAGGTAAGTTTAAAAAATAACTTTCTTACAAGATAGCGTATTCTATATCTACTAATGTACGTCTTAATTACTAGACAATAATAATCTATAAGATAGCCTACCTTAGCCTAAAATAACCTATTCTACCTAACTCTAGAGAATTAGAGCTAAGAAGAGAGATATTATTAGAAACTTATATTCTAGATAGTTAGATAATATTATATAACCTAACTTAGCGCAAGTATAAGTAGATCTAGAAAATTATTACCTAGAAGGTAATAATTTGTCTATTCTAACTAGATAATATACTATTACTTTGCTATCTTTTATATTCTGTATTAATTAGTAGTTACTTATCTAATAATTTATTTATAAGTTATCTTATAGTAAAGGCTATTAAGTAGTAGAAGTTTATAAAAAATTCTAATATAGTATAAGTATAAAGAGAGTACTAGCTTTAAAGAATTATAAGAAAATATACTAACTTATATATAAGAATATATAGTATATTTACTTTATAACTTATTTTAATAGTTCTTTAACTAATAAGCTATAGTTATATTACTATTTTATTTAAATTTTAAAATAATAGAGTAATTATATTACTTATATAGCAATTTTTTTTAAAATAAGCTATTTACTAGAGTGTTAGCTACTAAGCTAGAAAAGCTTAGCGCGCTTTTATATATACTTTTGTAGAGTATATATTATACTTTAATTATAACTTTTAAGACACCTAGTAGAGAGCTATTACTTATTTAAGCTAGATTTTTTAATTCTAAGATACTCTATTACGCTGTAAACACAAAACATCTCTTTTCTTAATCGACATGGGATGCACTTGTTCGCTTCATCTTGTTAGACTTACCAAGTCCTGGGGTCACATCAGGCAATGCGTTAACTGAGCCCCCTCTGCACAGCTCGTTCGCTATCAGCGCAATGATTCGAAAACATTGTTCAGAGCTCGGGAGAGCTGTTGATGCAAGGGTAGTGATAACGTAAGGGCGGCTGATAGGCTGCGTTCGTGCTTGGAGTTTAGAAACAAGTCCAGGCCATCCCTGGCCTGACATCTTCCGGGGCTGGGCGAGTCCCCTTTCGGTAAGGTGCGCAATTAGCGTAGACATGGCGATCAGAGACTCCATGCAGCATGTCGTTCCCGAGTACGGGATAGGATAAGGGATATTGGTGTCTTGAGCTTACGGTTTGTGGTGTGATCACTCTGTTAGAGTTTACAAGTAGTTCATTCCCAAGTGTTTCAGACTTCAGTCTCTCCGGCTGCCGTCGGAAATGGCCTAGGAATCCCTTATCTCCCTTGTTCTCTCAATCCCACGCCCAGGCCTGCCGGCGACGCTACCCACATCCCGCGACTCCCTCCGCAGCCGCCTCCAACATCCATCAGATGCAACATGCAGGTCCAACGGGGATCCTCACCCCTGGCGTCATCTCACCATATTTATGTCCAAGTCTAGAATAGCATCACACCATGCTGCTGCATTCGTTGTTCGCCTCGTCTACCGCAATCGTCTTGCCTGCATTGAACCATCTTGCTTTTACCTGCGCCATGCGCCGCTATCCCTGAGATTCACCGATAACTGTCGCGGCTGGGTGCAGGCGACGATGATGCTCAGCCTGAATTACGGACCCTGTCACTGCCCTATCTGTGCATTTGGCAATGAGTATTCATATATGGCAGTTGGTAGGGTGCGATATGGCTGCAAAGTACCGAGATCACGGCTATTGGTACGTGAGCGACAGGGACAATGAGCTGAGACTGTTGAGACGTGGGTACAAGGCTTCCAATTGATCTCGTCTGGAAGGTTCTTGAGTTTTCATTTGAGGAACTTCTCTAGGCATTATCACGGAGATGTTTCCGTCTCTTGGGCTTGATTGTGCTGCCAACTAATTGCACCGAGTCTTTCGGATGCCAAATGATCCTCCAATGCTACGGGCTCGGCCGACGATTTGGCAGGTGAGTAATCAGCAGAACTAATACCGCACGCATGGCTGTTGAAACGTCCGTGTCGACGGCAAAAGGATCATGCCGCCGTGAACTGAACACTGCGTTGAGAGATCTCCCCACATAGAATTGCAAGCGCGTGTGGTATCATAGAGCCACTTGCGTAGGCGAGGCTTCGGAGAACAAAGTATGCTGGCACGGTTTCCGATTCGAAGGGGAAGGCTGTCGTACAGCCGTCCTAGTGGCTCAATACGCCTACCGCCAAAGTCTCCACATTCCCCATAAACGTGGGCAAATTTGCGTCTTTCGGTGGAACTAGCCTACGCCACGGGCCGGGGAGTGTAGCAGATATGCATACACGTCCGAGAAAGGTGTAACGCGGTAAATCATGGGATCTGGTGGGATGGATTCCAGATCCGAGATCAGTATCTCAACCATGGAGTGGAGTACCAGATCCTACAGGAGTGTTTGCCCCTGGTGTTGCAGAATCCGTCCCGGCCTTCTTCTTCTTTTTCTTTTTGCGTGGTATCAATGCCGGCGGGTTCATGATAGCACTGCGCAGCGATAGATAGGAGCCGCACGTCAGGCACAGGTTATCAGGAAGATCCGGGTTGCAGAAGACTGACGGAGGTTAGCACTGTGTTGAGTGGGATGGCATGTTCGATTTGGCTTACTGCTTAAGCACACACTGCAGACAAAACCGATGTCAACAACCCTCCTATGGCAGAAACACGCCGCACGGAAATCGACACCGCCGGCGCTAGGGACTATGAGGCTTGTCCGCGCTGTTACATCTGGTAAGAATGCCATCATCAGATATTGTAGCAGGCCCTCTGGGCGATCCGGCTTCATGTATACACCTCCAGTCGCATCGCTTGCTTGCTGCAGCAGCACAGTGTCGCCAGCCAATTTCAAGATATCTATAGGTATTCGCTTTCTTTGTGCGGCAAAGATGGAGTTCATGACGGGTATGTACTGGTTCGCAAGGTCGCCGGATACGGATACGATGAGGATGCGAGATGTGAGGGGCACGCGGTCGACGTGGGTGTTTTCCGAGTCGGCGAGTGCCGCGAGAGATGTGCTCTCAGCGGAGGCGGCCGTGGGAGCATGCAGGATGGTCTGCTTGTTGATGTGGGTAAGGGCCATTGAGAGGGCACCGCCGATGAGCGTGGTTGGTGTTGCTTCCAGATGGCTCTCTTTCGTCTCGTTGAGGAGTTTGGCAAAGTTGCGTAGGATAGCACTTTCTACAACTGCGAATGGCCGGTACTTGTTCGCACTCTCTGCCATGTGGCCTTGCTTGTCCTTTCCATGTCCATTCGTTTGCGCATGCCCATTTGTCTCCCCACCCCGTAATTGAGGCTGGGGCTCTGCAGGAGTCGGATAGAGAAATGTCGTCTTGTGGGAATGTGAAGCTATCACGGCAACTTCATTGGCGTTTCCCGAGGCCAAGTGCGCGTTGATGAAGACGAGGATGTTGGCTAGGGCGGCCGAAAGTGAGAGGGTCGAGGATAGATGCGCCCACGCATGCGGGTTGGTATCGAGCACGATCGCAAGCAATGACGGCGGCGGGGCTGGGAAGTATTAGTCACGTCCGTATTAGCTGAGGTATTCCAGCAGCATGCCTTCGTCTGTCTTGACGTGACGGTCGGAACCGTCGATGGTATTCATTACGCTGGAACGTCCTTCTCTGCGCAGATTCGAGGTGACAACTTCCTATTCAAGGACAGTACATGGTTCAGGAAGGCGAACAAATCTTCCTCAAAAGGTCCAACTTGTTGGTGTAGAGGGTCTAGCTGTTGCTGAATTCAGTTGATGAGGTCAACTCGGAAGTTCGCGACCGCCTAACATTATGCGCCCGTGCGCTACCCGCGTCAGCACGTGAGAGCGTTGCACCTGGGCAAGCAAGACCTCCTACTTGTTTGGGTAACTATTGAGCACCACTACATGACTTGAAGGCAGCCTGTAGAGATCTCTGTCCAAGACAACGACCATCGGGCTTTTTCTGTAGAATGGGTCTTGTTATTGGCTACATGCCAGCCAGCGGCGCAGCCATAGACTTGTGGCTTACAAGACCCATATATTGTTCAGCCTCATTGCATACATAAACGACGTGACTTCCCGCCTTACCTGAAATCTATAGATGTGTTGTATTTGCCAAATTACAAGATTGACAGCGAACGTCTCTCATCCATGGCTCGAGAGCGCTGCTACTCAACCTTGAGAGGATCAAGAGGTACCTATCAATTCGCTGACCTATCGGCTATGCAGTCTTGCAGAAAGAGACGGAACTGAGTTTCAGCTTGTGCGGAGGTATCGTCATGAACATGTGAATCCTTCAGAGACAGGACGAATCGCGGAATACCAAGGTCGCCGATATGTCCGTCGTTACATGACGTGCCGTCTCGCAAAGCTAACGCGTCTACGCCAATCTACCGAGGCTCAGGAGAAAGTTTCGCCCCACGCGATGCACTATGGAGGACGAACGTCCCGTCCATTGGCAAGATGATTCTCCATCAAGGGACTGCTGTCATGTCAACTTCATCTTCACATGCGATCGACTCTCCGAGGCCTTCAATAGCTAGATCCTCGAACAAGGCGCCCGGCTAAAGTTTAATATCGACGAAGCTATCGTCAAATTCATAATCACGCCTCGTACGCTGCGTTGGAGCTCAAGGCGAACCTTTGGACGTCTGCGTATACAGCCTCTCAGCAGCCCGACTGCTTGCGAAGATGATCACCGAATCGATAAGACGTGTTAACGGTTACGAGAAAGATGCCTACACCTACTACCCCGTCATCATTGTCGGTGCAGGCGCATCTGGCATTGCCATGGCCTGCCAGCTGAAGCAGCAACTTGGATTTGACCAGTTTCGCGTATTCGATCGGCAAGCAGGCATTGGAGGAACCTGGTGGATCAATCGGTACCCCGGTGTCGCTTGGTAAGTCCGCGATCTCCCCGAAGACATGCAGGTGGTCACAACCAGGGTCTCTGTATTCAGCCGCCACCGTGCCACAAACACGAGACTAACAGCCACACAGCGATATACCCGCCGTCTTCTACTCCTTCAGCTTCGCCCAAAACCCCAGTTGGTCCTCGTTCCACCCGCCCGGCAAAGAAATCGTACGCTACTACCACGAAGTATGCGAGAAATACCGCATCACGGACAAATTCGAGCTCAACACGGATATTGAAAGTTGCAAATGGTTAGAAGACGAGCAGCTATGGCAGGTCACTCTCCGTCGCATGATCTCAGGCATGGGCGACCTGTCAGCAAAGGATCGCATGAAGATCGCGCAAGAAAAAGGCGAGCATGCCGTATACTCGGAGACGGAAGTTGTGAAGGCCAAGGTTGTGCTTAGCTGTGTGGGAGGACTGGTCGAACCCAGGGGCTGGCCTGACGAGATTAAGGGCATTGAGAACTTCAAGGGCAAGATGTTCCATTCGGCGAGGTGGGATGAAAGCGTCGACTTCACAGACAAGAACGTCGTCGTTGTCGGCACTGGATGTAGCAGCGCGCAACTCGTTCCTCCTCTACCCCACGCGCCTTACAACGCCACAAAGGTCACTCAGTTGATGAGATCACCACCGTGGGTCACTCCAGCTGTTCACGCGCCTGGTGGTGATGAATGGTGGGAGAAGAATGGCCCCAAGCTGATGAAGAACGTACCGGGCCTCAAAGAGCTGTTGCGTTTCATCATCTTCGCCACGGCAGAATCAGGCTTCCTCAAGATCTTCCCCAACACACCATACGCTAACAAACAGCGGAAACTCTACGAAGAGAAGGTCCTCCAGAACATGCGCAAACGCACTCCAGAAAAGTACTGGGAGATTCTAACACCAGACTACGGCGTGGGTTGCAAACGACGCATCTTCGACAAGCGATGGCTCCGCAGCCTGAACGATCCAAAGATCGAATTAACTACACAGCCGATGAACAGAGTCACAGAGCATGGTGTTGTCATCGGCCCCGGCGCGACATATCCAAAGGACGCGAAGGAAGAAGATTACCCCGAGCGAGAAATCCCCGCCGATGTCATAATCCTCGCCAACGGCTTCGACACAACGCGCTGGCTCCACCCCCTCAAAGTCATCGGCAAAGGCGGAAAAGACCTAGTCCAAGTAATGGAAGAACGAGGCGGCGCTCAAGCCTACCAAGGCACAGCCGTCGACGGCTTCCCCAACTTCATGATGATCTTTGGACCCAACACTGCAACTGGGCATTCCAGCGTCGTCATGGCAAGTGAGAGTACGTCTAAGCCCTCCCAACTAACGCTCACCGTTATTCATATCAAAAAAGTTACTAACAAAACTCCCAGACATGGTAAACTACTCCCTAAACTTCATCCGCCTTCTCCTCCACAACGAAGTCCGCACAATCGACGTCAAGCACTCCGCCGAAGTCGCCTACACAGCCGAAATGCAACGCGCTCTCAAAAACACCGTCTGGCAGAGCGGCTGCTCAAGCTGGTATTTCACCGGCGACGGCTGGAACTCGACCGTGTATCCCTATACCCAGATTGAATTTTGGCGGAGGTGTACTTTTGTCAAGTGGAATGATTGGAACATAGAGTATACGCGTAAGGGAATTGCGAGGATGAGGGCGAGGAGGCTGGTTAGGGCGTTGGCGGTTGTGTTGGCTGTTGGGGGTGCGTGGAGGTTTTGGCGGAGTGGATTGGGGGTTAGGGATGTTGGGGCGCTGGTGAGAGGGGTTTTGGAGGGGGCTGTTAGGACTGTGAGAGAGGCGGCAGAGATGGTCAGGAAGACTGCTCTGGCTTAATGCGGTGGCATGTTTTCTACTCCTAATAACATCAAATCTCTAGTGAAAGCCTGAAAGAAAGACAAGACAATTGATCCAGCCTCAAGACTCGTCGTCCTCCAGGTCCTGTCTACATACATTTTCGAATTCCATGCCACGCGCAACCCGACCACTGAATGGCTCGATAAACACAAGCTTTTCCTCAGCGCAGGGCCAGTCATAATTATATAGAGCCCCAGCCCACACCCAGAAGCCATCTGGGCAGACAATGTGAATTTCGTCCGCACTAACAAAATCCATGAGTTCATGCAGATCTGATCCATGTGGGTCGTCTCGCTCAAACTTGAGGCGCTTGACGGCTGATGCGATGGAAATGTAGTCGCAGAACGTAGAAGTGCCGATGTCTAGCATATCGATATCGAGATTCAGCCAGATATATCGCTGCTCGGTCTCGACTTCCTTGGGCCCTTCTTTTTCTCCCCGCTCCTCCTCAGGCGTAAAGAATTTCTCGATGAGGACTTCCGGCGCATGGTTGTTTTCGAATTTCTTCACTACATCAACTTCGAAGTGAACACGCTTGTATAATCCAAGGTTTCGCGCTTCCCGGCAGGACTGTAGTATAGCTGGTATGGGCGTAGACGATGCGAGCTGGCCATGGCGTTGAGACCATCTGTCTCGAACGCGCTGCACGTCGACGGTGCGCGGTTCGACGGTGTCCTTCCAGATTTGCTCTCGGAGCTCGAGAGGAAGTCGTGGAAAGGGATGGAAAGTGGCCATGGTGTGGGATTGTGATGTACAGGACTACGAACGCAGCCCGCGCGCAATTTCCACTACCGCTAGTAGATCTGTGGATGGTTTGGAGAGAGTGGTATTGCCCGTCTGCTACCAGTAAGCTAGACTATTGCACATACATATCCATCGATCCAAGAACACCAGCAAAACTGCTTTTGTACAATTACCATTGTATGCCGCATCATCCCGACCCCACAAACGTCATTTAGATATCCCATCTCCGGACCTTCCTCCGGATCATAGAATCCTGGGGTCTAGCTCCAAGCCTTCGCGAATAGACTCCATCCGACGCGCCATTTTAGTCTACCCCATCCGAATACCAGGGCTAGTCAGCAGTAAATTCTGGACCGGACTAGGCTCCGCTGGTCTTTTCGATGTGGTGGTGTGCCATTGTGCATTAGACATGCATATCAAACAGTGTGTGTGTGCTGAGCTAGTTAGAGTATAAGCATCGTGATTCACAGTCACCTGCATGGCCAGCAAAGCTTGAAATGAGAGATCATGTGTGTACTTCATGTCATAACGTCATGCTGGATAACATGTTCCAGGAGCCAACGTCTTTCCTGATCGTCGACAACCATGTTTTCCCAATCCAATCCAATCCAGTTCCCTTGGTCATTATCTGATAGAAAGATATACGCAGAAGCAGAAGACAAGGAAATGGATATCTTCGCAGAGAACAATGCCACAGATCCAATGAAATCCCGTGATAAAACTTTTCCGTTCCGTGAAAGAAAATCGTGACATCATGCTCGATGATCGAGATTGTCGTTTTATGCCTCAGCAGTAAGATCGTTACCAGTGTTCAGCCAGTCTACATCTCCTAGTCCGCCTGAGATTCCCATGTTGGCGTCGAGAGCTGAGTCGTCGAAGTTGAATGCCTCGCCGACTGCATCCAGGTTGAGCAGCTGATCGAAATCGCCGTCATCGAACTCGTTGTTTAGTGGCAAGCTGGAGAACAGCATCTCGTCGTCCTGGTGGTGGTTGATGTTGTTGGTAAATGGATTCGCAGGAAGGTCCATCGTACTCCACTTATTGAAGGCCATCGAGTTCAGGTTGTCGTGTGTGTGCGAGTCCGACGCAGAAGCCGTGATACCGTCCATGTGTGATTCGTCGGCAATAGTGATACTGGGCATGTGCTCGTGATCGGACTCTGGTGGTGTAGATGCGAGGAATGTTTCGAGACGGCGAGCGACTTCCTCATCGGTGACATTAGGCTGGTCGTGCTGCTTCTCGAGAGCGTGCATGTTGGTGGTACCGTTGTCTGGCGGCGGTGTCAATGTTGAAGGACGTAGGTTCTGTGTTCCTGTAGTCGCGTTGTTGATCATCTCCATTCGCCTTCCAGCGTCTACAAGATCTTCGACTGTAGTGACGGGCGAAGGCTTAGGCATTGGCGCAGCTGGAGCGGCACCTACAGGAGCAACATGAATACCTGCCTTGCGGATAGCGGCTTCCAGGAAGGCTACTGAGTAGTCGGCAGCAGCGTAAAGATCCCGCAGTTTACCCATAACAGCCATGCACTGGCAGAAGCCACGCAGAGAAGTTCGACGAGTCTCCTCCTCCGGCGCCTTGATGTCGAGTAGGTGAATGATGATCGCTGGTAACAGAACCGTGACACCTGTGGTCGGTAGGTATTTGACGAGACCACCCACGTCTAGACGCTGAGCTATCGATGTGATTGCTGAAGCAGCCCGGCGGACATTACGGCGCGAGACATCGAGCAATTCAGACTCAACATTCTCCTTTGTCGGAGCGCTGGCTGGGCCGCCTTGTGAATTTGGTAGAACCTGCGGCCGATGCAGCGCTGACAACGTGGTGAAGAAGACCATGTGCAGTAGTGACCTTGCAAGATCGATGGCTGCTTCGCCGCTGGGCGTGTCCGTGTACTTAGCTTCTTCTGGAAGCTCTGATACCCATTTTTGGAGCTCTTCATCGCAGGCCTTGACCTCACTAGTTTCGGGATCTAGTTTCTTCGGTAGCAGCATCATGGTTGTACGGTCATTTTGTAGGCCGTGGTTGTTGTTCAATACGCAGTATTGCTTAGAAAGCACATGGGATATGCACAAACACAGCCTAGCCTTCTCAATGCACATGATAGCTAGTTGTCGCTGCGCATCCACATCCCTCGCAATGCGGCAGTCAGCTGGCAGGCAAGTGATCGAATCCGGAAGAGGTGCAATCTCAAAATCATCCAACGTCAGCATGGGCACGTCGAAGTCCTCGGTCTTTATCCTTGTAGGGCGTCGCATGCCAAGTGCAATAAGTCGGTCGCGCATGTAGGTTGACCACCATATCCGCTTCCACAGCTTAACGCGCTTGCTGTCCAGGTTGGTGTTGTCCGGATTGCGATGTAATCCGATGGTGTGAGCAACCGACGTAGCGACGCCCATCCAGTGCCAGGTGTCTTTCTGGTCATCGGGAGTTTCGTAATAATACGTCAGCAACAACAGTGCTTGGACTAGTGAAACGCGATCGGACTCATAATCGAAGTCGTACAAGATCTGGTGGCAGAGTTAGCACGGTGTTCACATGTTATCGGCCCATTGTAGGTCCGTCGATTTTCACATGTCGGCATGTCCTCGGAAGATCGGTGTGTCCGAATCACCCCGATAGTGTTTGGGTCTGGTCGGCCGAAGCCCATGACTTGCCAAGACATCCGAAGAAGGGTCTCAACTTACTCTAGTCTTCTGGAAGAAGTCTTTGCGCGCGTCTTTCCGAGTAGCGTAGCCCGCTGTGCGCAAGTGTTCCATATCAACAAACGCCGATCCGGCGAACATGACGGCCTGGAACAGGATCAAGCTGACTTTTCCTTTGCTTCCGTCTCGTTTGTCAACCATCGACAGGAAATCATGCAGATCCAGAAGTGGCATATAGGGATGGACAAATTCGACGTATGCGCGAAGCATTTCACCGCGGAGATTCCCCTTTGGTACGGTCAAAGCACCCTTCTTCTCCAGATAGGCGATCTCGTCAGGTCCGATTTTCGCTGGGAGAGGTTTGATGAATCGGGGTAGCTCTCCAGGGGCGGGTTTCTGTGGTATGCTTCCAAAGAAGGGTGCTCGTGGTTCATTGGAAAACGGCGAAAATGGTAGTGTAGGCAAGCCATTGATTTGTGACGTGATGGAAAGTCGGCGCTGGATATCTGAGATACTGGCGACGGAGTTGATACGATGGCCATGACTTTGGTCTGTGTTGCGATTAGCCCAGTACGACTGATGCCGTGATGCAGTAATCATACATATTGAGTGAGGCACATGCTCATCTCGCCTTGATTCCGCCTCATGTGATCCTCGCGACGAGCTTCGGTTCAAGGTTTGCGCACCGTCCAGCGCGTCACGCGATGCGATCTTGCGCGTCGCAGGTGCAGATGCGCTTGCGTTTTCTGTGGCTTGGTCGTCATCTTTGCTCCATTTCCTGCAGCTGTCAGTAGTCGTACGAGGCGCACATTTGGTGTGGGTGCATCAACAGCCATTGGCTGAAATGCTCTCGGTGATTGTGATAGGTGCAGCGCAGCACAAGTGGCTAGGCCAGAAATACCGAGCTCCCAGCCGACGTTGGATGACGAAATCGATGGAACATGCCATATCGAAATTGTTGATCAAACGATAAAGCGTTTTGTTTGTGGAGACGTCGGATATTGCACGGGAATGTGGAACTAACTTTTTCCGCCTGCTCTCCGACACAATGCACTCGACTTCGTCCAGTCTGCAGTTTGTGCAAGGAGCGCCATGCTCTGTGACATTGCATCGCACTTTGCGAGCTCGACAACACTGACACGCTTTTGAAGCCCTCCTCTTTACTGAACGCCCGGTTCCATGTCCATCGAGGCCGGCCGCGGTGGCTTTTCGTTTCGGTGCTTGGATTTCGTTGTGATGGTCGGACGGAGATGCAGAGTAGTCAGACATGGCTACGAGATGTGGATGTCTGGAGTCTGCGTTGAAGGCACGATGGGTTGCAAATAGCGTTGACAATTCCTACCACACGCGAGGGGTCTGGGGGGGCCCGAGGATTATAAAGACCACAATTCGCGAGAGTGGATTGCATGCCAGGGCTAGTCGTGTGCTAGGACACACAGACAAGCCGCGCTTCACATGGTGCGTTTTAACGCTCATGACGCCGCCTCCGTCCCCACTGGGGATCGTTAGTTAGTACCCCAGTCCCCCAGATGCGGCTGGTCGGCGCTTTATCCTTGGCGACTAAGACGCCGATGCCTTTCGGATGTCATCGGG